CTCTCTCTCTCTCTCTCTCTCTCTCTCTCTCTCTCTCTCTCTCTCTCGTGTGTGTGTGTGTGTGTGTAAGGAGGAAAAAGATAAACGATATAATCATATTTTAATTTCAAAAAAGGAAAGAGTCAAATATCTTAATGAGACCCATTACCGTGTATACTAGAATAAAAACAAATTAAAAAAGAAAGAAAACAATACCTTAAGTAGTATATCAAATGATTGTGAGAAAAGGCATCTTTTAACTTGACTTCCTTCAGCGACGGAAAGCACAGGGGATCAAGTTTCCTGTGATACTTGGAAAGATCAGAAGGGCTTTTATCTGAGAAGCAGCCTCAGCCAGGAGTTAGGCCTTCAGGGTCGGTTGTACCACCATGGACTTGAAACATCCATTAACAGGGCCATTAAGTTGCAGCTGCAGCTGCCAGGGCAGGGGCAAGGCTGAGGAAGGGGCCTCCTGGCCACAACAAAGCTTTTGATCCCCCTGGAAGCGACTAGCAAGCCTGTGGCAAGTAGGGCTCCCCACATGATCTCCTGTAATGCTCACCGCAACCCCATAAAGTTGGTCATTTTAGACCTTGACATTTCAGTGAGGGCTCCCATCCCTGCAATTTACAGCCACACTCCTCATGGGTAATTACTTGAGTGGACTCTCGTGGAGGACATTTCCCAGCACTGCTGGAGAATCTGGGGACACAGGTCATGCAAGTCGCCTCTTTTTCAGGCTCCGGTGAGGAGAGTGCTCAGTGGAAAGGCCAGTGTGCTGTGCGTTTCCGTCACTAATGTGTCTGCTCTGCAGCTCCGTACCCAGGAGGCACCGCTGCCGCACACGCTATCTCCCCACTTCTCTCACTGACCCCAGTCCTGGGTCTCCAGGTACCATCCGGGAGACGCTTTGTGGCCTGGAACAGATAGAAATCCCTCCAGCCCTTCCAGTGCCATTCTGGTGTCTGAGAGCCAGGTGCTTGCATCTTCAGTGGAATCTGGCCAACAGCTGGCCTGAGAGTCTGTGCCAAGGCGCTCTGGTGACTGGGAAGGGCCAGCATGGAGGCCAGCAGGGCTGGCAGCAGAAGCCCTGATCTGTTTCTGATCTCCACCATCTCATCTCCTCGGTATCCGTTTCCTGTCTGGTCACCGCCAGTCCTCCCAGCCCTCGCTTTCCCTTCTCCCCACTGGGAAAAGGCTGTGTTTCACATGCTCAGCCTAAGGCACACTTAATTGTTTTGTGCTTGAGGAAACTGGGGCTCCAGTGGCCAGTGAACCCCTTGAAGACCTTCTCTGGCTGAGCTGCATTCAAACTAAGAGTGCAAGGCTCCAAATCTCATTCTTGCCCATAGCTACAAGCGTGACAAGTTGGGGGAAAACGCAGATTCTGAATCAGTAGGTCTGGGAGAGCTCTGGGAATTGGCATCTCTTTTTCCCCCTACTGTTTATTTTTAAATATTTATTGTTATTTTATGTGTATATTTGGCCTCCACATAGACATAAGTATCGTGTTTGTGTAGTGCCGGCAGAGGGCAGAAGAAGGCTTTGCACCCCCTGGAATGTCATGTGGATGGTAGGAACCAAAGCTGGATCCTCTGCAAGAACAGCAAGTGCTCTTAACCACTGAGTCATCTCTCCAGCCCTGAATTCTGCATTCCTCACAAACTCTAAGATGAAGTCCTTGAAGTAATCTTTGCCTAGCAAGTGCATGTTGCTTTATGTATTTATTTTTTAAAAGTATGTATTAAAAAAAAAGAATTCCTCTTGATTCTTATTGTAACCCAGTGTCTTTGTTAGGGTTTCTATTACTGCTATAAAACACCATGACCATGAAGTAAGTTGGGGAGAAAAGGGTTTATTCGTCTTACCCTCCCACATCACTGTTCACCACTGAAGGCAGTAAGAATAGGAACTCAAACAGGGCAGGATCCTGGAGGCAGGAGCTGATGCAGGGGCCATGGAGGAGTGCTGCTTAACAGTTTGCTTTCCATAACTTGTTCAGCCTGCTGTCTTACAGAACCCAGGACCACCAGTCCAGGGATTAACACCACCCACCATTGGCTGGGCCCTCCCCCATTGATTGAAAGATGCCTTACAGATGGATCTCATGTGGGTATTTCCTCAACTGAGGCTCCATCTTCTCTGATGACTCTAGTTTGTGTCAAGTTGACACACAAACCTGTCAGTACACCCAATGAAACTGGCAGGGTGTTGCAAATGTATTTGTGTCTTCTCTTCCTTTTTTGTTTTGAGACAGGTTCTGTCGTGGTTTGAATGAGAATGGCCCCCATAGGATTATATACTTGAATTCTTGGTCCCTCGTTGGAAAGGATTAGGCGGTGCAGTCTTATTGGAGGAGGTGTGTCACTGAGGACAGGCTTTGAGGTTTCCAAAGCCCATACCATTCCCAGTTAGTGCACACACTCTCTCTCTGCCTCATGTTGTTGTCTCAACATGTAAGCTCTTAATTACTTCTCCAGTGCCATGCCTGCCTGCTGCCATGCTCCCTGCCATGATGGTCATGGACTCACCCTCTGAAACTACAAGCCCTAATTAACACTTTTGTTGTGGAGTATTTTTTTTAACTAGGCAAACATGTGTAAGATTTGTTTATGCTGCATTTGTCCAATTATGTAAAGATGGGTTGTTGTTTTACCTTGCCTGCCTAAGGAACCTGATTGGTCAATAAAAAGTTGCACAGCCAATAGCTAGGCAGTAGAGGGATAGACAGGGCTGGTGGGCAGAGAAAATAAGTATAAGGAGGAATCTAGGCTCTAGCAAGAATGAGGGAGAAATAGAGGGAGACTTCTGGGGCCAGCCAGACAGCCGTCAGACAGCCAGACAAGAGAAGCATGGAAGTGGGACAGGAGGAAAGAAAGAAAGAAAGAAAGAAAGAAAGAAAGAAAGAAAGAAAGAA